CAGTGAGATGCTAAAGCTGAAAATTCCATCAATTACCTACATTCACTGAAAAGCTGCATCAGACACAACATTTTCTGGAACCCCTGCATGGTTTTGATTCTCCTAAGTCAGGAGCTTGAGAGGAGGAAAGAGTGTTCCAGAACCCTGCAAAGGCTAGAACTCTTCCCACCTGCCAGAATCAGATATTGCAGAATTGGAGCTGGAGCTACACATGAAATAGTTCAGACCAGGCATTACCTGGCGGCCTCTTTGTATATCAAGAACTGTCATTGCAAAACTAAGTGACTGAATGTGTCCCTGCCCACCTAATCTCAAAATTGAGAGGTTTCCTTTGTAAAAGACACTAGAGTAAATTGGCTCTCCCTTAGCACCTTCAGGCAATTGCATAGTTCTTTCATTTTTGGAGTTGTCTCCATGACAGCAATGCTCACAGTTGGGCTGGAGGTGGGCTTGTTGGAGAGATTCTGGTGATAAAGATAATAAGATGATTTTGCCTGGGAACCAGAGGGGTTATTTTTCTTGAAATGGAGAAAGCGTGTATAACCTTGCCTTGTTGGAAAAAGAGTTTTGGTCTCTTAGGGTAGTAGAAAAAGGCCCCTCCAGTGAAAGAATGCTCCTTGGGATGTCACAAGAGTGGTGAGCAGTCTCTCAGACTCGACAATTCTGGCAACCAGACAGAGGAATAGGTGTGGGTGAAGATCTTCGTGAAACTGAGTGTGACTGGGATGGGACCTTGGGAATTTGGCAGAAAATCGGGGGGAAAATTTAAGAACGCTAAAAATGCAGAATCTCCTTTATGGATGGATAAAGACAATCTTTTCCTTTCTCTGCTTAACTCTGAAGATATGTTACAGGCCTCATGATATGCAGAAGGCCAATAATACCTGGTAAGTTTTATGTTGTTGGTTTACATATTTATGTTAGACTGCAGATGGCCAGATGCTTCCGACTTGCCCTTTCACATATATTCCTCAAATAGTGAGTGGTCCCTTAACCTTAAATATAGCAATTATCCTTAAATATGTGAAAGATTTGGGCTTTGGTAGTTGCTGGGCTTGGCTTGCATGTAAAATACCCATCTCCTTCCAAACGGTCACTATATATTACTAAAGGTATAGCCCAGAAAGCTACCAAGCCATCTATCACAGTTTATCTAATGGCAGGTATAGAAAGTTAAATCTTACAACCTAGATCTGTTTGGAAACACTGAATTTCATGCAATGGCAGTGCAAGGCTGAGTCATAGGTCCTTTGTTCATGCCCCCAAGGCTTGGCCTAGTGCTACAGAACTCACCAGAAAGTTACCATAATGGAATGGAGAAATAACTCAGTCAATCAAGGGTGTTTTCAAACTCAAGCTCCATAATGCACATATATTTCATTATAAAAATATTATTCCTTAAAAAAATACATAAATGTAAAATATTTCATTTCTACAGCCACTCCTACCCTACACATATCATGCTATTCATCTTAGACTAAAACGCATAGACATGCTCCTCAGTCATGGCTCAATCGTACCATTTGAGTTCATCTCTTTTTCAAGTTATGCCAATTGTGCTGAAAAATATGCTCCCAGGCCCAGATAGGGGGTCCACAAGTTTAGTTTTCTCACAGTGGGAAGAACTGTAAGGAAATGACTCCAAGAGGCCATGCACTCCATGTGGCCCACCCCCGGAAGGTCAGAGTATGATTTCTCAGGCTCAGATGGGAACACAGAAACATGTTTGGTTGGTAGAAGGGCAGAGGAAAAGCCCAAGTTACAGTCACTCTAGCCGCTTTGGGCCACGCCTGCAAGGTTCTGCCTCAATGCTCCTATGATGAAATTCACAGCTCTGAAGAAGGCTGGGTAGGAGTGGGGAAGAGAATGTTGTGTTAATACAGCTTTGGAATACAACCTGCGGGGTTTTTTTTGTTTTTGTTTTTTTTAAGGACAGAAAAGAACATAAACAGCGGTGCTAAGGCAAACTGTCAAATGGCACATCAGAACTCTTTTTTTTGTCATTCATTTTGTTAACATCACAAGGCAGATACATTCTGTAAACATATATACCATACAGTACATTAACCATAGGAAAATTAAAAAAAGCCACCCTGTAATTCTTTTCTTTCTGTATTTCTGTTCTTTCATTCTAGAAGGACTGTCTGAAGTCTAGGGAGAATATTATGGTTTTGAAATATACTTTTCTTTTGATAAAAATGCAGTGACTTGCAAAAAATAGCCTCAAGTGATTACTAAGAGGCAATATGGGAAGATGACGATTCATACCTCAACCTGTAGAAACTTAGAAAGTAGTCACAAAATAGAAAAAGTCATTAATGTCAGGAAACATTTTGTTTTCCTGGTTAGTAAATGAGAATATTGAAAAATTATTATTATTATTATTATTATTTTACAAAAGTTAAGGCTGTCCAGTTCTTTGATGCAGGGAGTCTTCAGTCCCCAAATCTACATATTATATTTTCTTGTTGAAAGCCAGTTTTTTGCATGTCAGTTCTGACCTTCTTATGTTAGACTGGAAGAGAGAGGGGAGGCAGAGACCTACTTAAGTAATATACAAATCAGGTGGGAGGAGCTGGTCAAAGGATCCCCAGTGAAATTTTCCTTTGAAACTTTTAGTATGTCATCTTTATTCTAAGCCTCTCTACTTTCAAACAAGAAGTGTTTTGGTTGATACGGGAGTTTTAATAAGAAGTATCCAGAAGCTATGAAAATACAGACACAGAACTGCATTGTGTTCCAAATAAAAGACTTTTCTTTATCTCTAGAAAATGCAGGAAAGTTTTCCTGAGAAGACCAGAAGAAGGCCTTCGTGAAGGTGAATTGTTAGTAGCATGAATTAAAGATCCCATTTTCCTCATTACTTCCAGTTTTATGAGGTATGCCAGTAAAACTCTGTGCTCCTGCTGTGTTGTCCTATCTAATAGGACAAAGTATACCTTCTGGTTCTATTCTAATCAATACACTTTGATTAAGAAATTGAGGAGCATCCAAAAGATTGCAACATTTCTAAAGTTTCTAGAACTATGTCTTAAACATGCTGAGAATTTGTGGTTTCAATAGCAAATGTGCATGCTGCAAAAAAACAGTGAGACTGCTCACCTTGGAATGGTTTTTGTTGTAAGCTAACATTACAGGAGATGAGAATATTTCAACAAGGAAAGGGCCTGCGAGTGAGTTAAACTTTCCAGTGATAACCAGAGATGACTGAGCTTCTAGATTTTAAGTTAAAAACGTTAAAACAAACAAACAAAAATCCTCAGTGCATATTCTGTCTATGTTCATCTGTATTTTATTTTATTTTATTTATTTATTTTTTGAGTTGGAATCTCACTCTGTCGCCCAGACTGGAGTGCAGTGGCCGCTCCCGGCCACCGCAGCCTCGACCTGCTGGGCTCCAGTGATCCTTCTGCCTCAGCCTTCCGAGTAGCCAGAATTACAGGCGTGCGCTACCACGCCCGGATGATTTTTTGATTTATTGTAGAGATGAGGTCTCGCTGCCCAGGCGGGTCTCGAACCCGTGGGCTCAGGCAATCCACTCACCTCAGCCTCCCAAAGGCGTGGGATTACAGGCTGAGCCACCGAGCCCGGCGTTCATCTGTATTTTAAATTGACAGTGTTAATACTTCTTACAAAGAATGACCTGGTTTAGTAGGTAGATTTTGCCTCTATCACCATATTCCCTCTTTCCTCTTTTGCTATCTGTTGGTTCGTTGGTATTAAATAAATGGTCATTTTCAAGAGTGCACTGTGGTCCTTTGAAATGAAATTCTGTAGGAAGTAGAGAGAAATAAGCTGCTTTCACACTTGGCCTCAACATTTTGCTTTAGAGATGATATTGTATCTCTAGGAAACTATATATTTATAAAAACTTGATCCTAACCAAAATAAAATATTCTATTTGCATGCAGAAAAACCACATTGTCACCAGGAAGTAAAATGGAATCAGTAAAAATTTGAAGCAATATGTGTCTATTAATATTTCATAAGGAAATCAAATCAAATAGATAGAATTTGAGTTTCCTGAAAGCCTTTGAATAATTCTAAGATTTCTCAGAAGGTTTAAGAAAACTGTGTTTTGGGTTTGGCCTGGGGGAATTCCCTGGCACTTCTTCCTCTCTATTGCCAGTATTAAGTGACATCATTGGACACTGTCAAATCACTTTGAGAGGCAATTTTTTTTTTTGCCTACGTATGGAAAATAATATGAGTAAAAGAGGTACAAGTTGAACAAAATTCCCGAGTTTCTCCTATTGCACATTAAAAGAGAGAGAAAAAAAGTCAGGGATGTACAAGTCATCAAGATTTTTCAGGATATATAGGGTTAAACTTTATCATTTTAACCATGAAAAGATCTTCAACTAAATGCCATTGAAAATCTACTTATGCACAAATGAAATATCCCTCCTTTCCCTTTTTTCCCTTGCTTTCTATTTAAAAGGAAACTGATGATATGATTTTAAAGAAAAAGCCCAGCTAATCGTTAGCTCAAAAAAGATTATGGTTTTGCAGCTTCATTACTGATTCTTTAATTAGTCTGGTTGTGTAACCAAATACCCTGCATTTTTGAAGGGTGTGATAACACACATAATAAAGTTTTTACAGAGAGAATGCCAGCGGCAGCAGGAAAGGCAGAATATTCAGAGTCAGAATTCTGTTTACATTTTCATCATAAAGGATAGTCATTTGCTGCTGGAGGTGGGATTACAGGTCTCATTCCATAAAAGTACTGGCTGAGCCTGAATCTCCCATCATGGCAGGAAAATGATGGGACATATGCAAATATGAGTATATATACCATATTAAGACGCATCTTCATTTACTGTGGCCACAAGTAATTTCATGTCTTACTTCAAAGACCACTAAATGATAAGCTTTAATAACAAAAGTATAGATAAAATTCTAATTCATATAATTTGCTAATCACTGTTCCCCATAATAATAACTGATGAATGAGCATGTGGATTATCATTGATCTTTTAGCCCTGGGTGCAGTGTTGTAGGGAAGGGTGCACATTATTTTCTTCATGAGTAATTAGTTTACTTATGTAAGAGTAGGTCACTTCATGGAATTATCTATCCTGGAAGACTGACTCTGTTTATCAAACAGCAAGCTCAAGGATTCTGTGTTCTACCATGCCACTCAATCACTGTGCTTATAACAACTCAGACTGAATAGTTTTAATCCCCGAGTAAAAAAAAAAAAAAAGGATAAGCATTGGTAAACTTTTAGATTGTTTAGTTCCTAAATAAATCATTAAAATAACAGATTGTCTAAAACATTGAAACTATTTTCTCCTTCTGTGTAAACAGGTTTATCTGCATGTCATTGTATTTAATGTTTAAATGATGCTTAAATGACCATGTTCTGAGGAAAATGAAGCTGAGAGTAGTGAGATTTATAGACATCAAAACCAGGTTTCTAGATAAGAGAACAGTTTCATTCCATTGCAGCTGCTTTGGTGAACCTGAGATTTAGAGATAATTCCCTCAGTTATTCAAAACCAAGTCATGGATAAAATAACCTTAAAAAGTAGAACTTAGTTCCTTTATTTTTCCCTTCTTTAACTTTTTTGTTTTTATATTGGCAATAAAATGACTCACTTTGTGCCCATTAAAATGTAATTATTTAAGAAAAATTAACGTTAAAAAGTAAAAAATAGTGTTTTCATCTTTTGAATTGGAATAAATATAATTTCAAGCCAGAAAATTAAAAAATATATATATTTAGCTCTGAGCAAGCTAAATAGGTCGAATTTAATAGGTCCTATAATAAAATTCTCTCAAGACTACCTTTTCTTTCTAATCTGCTTTCCACAGAAGTTAGACTTGATGTTATAGATCATGTGTTTTTCAAAACTATATTCTGTGGAAACATAATTTTACAATTTGCAACAATGCTATGAACATGTGGGCAAATAAAGTTAAGATATGTCTTATTAAAAATCAGTTAATTTGTTATCTATTAACTTCATTACTCTATTAGTGTTATTTTACTTAACTGTTTCCCTTTGGTTTTACTATATATGTAGCTGTTTGTTTTGGGAGAGTGCTAAAATTGTATTTCAAGAACTGTTCATTGTGTTCTAGATAAAACATATTCTTTGCTATTCCAGAATCTCCAGAAGTTTAAGAAAGCAATGCTTTATTTAAGAAGCTCAGTGATGTGCCGCTCAATCAGTATTTGTTGAATAAATTGAGATACTTAAATGTTGAGAAGACAGGTCTTTCTTAATGTTTTAAATTTTTTTACATTTTAAAGTTTTTTTCTGAAGGGTGGAAAACCTACAAGCTGAAGTTACCTGAAACACTGTCTTTCTCATGGGGACAGAAAGAAAAGAGTACAGTTGCAAGGCTCTGTAACCAACCGGCACGAGATGAACAGTTAATGCGTTACAGCACCATCCATGATGAAGTGGGAGCATCGTGGCCACCACTGTAGGTCAGAAAGACTGTTTTAGAAATATGGTCACTGCAGAGATACTTCTTAAAATGATCCCCTCATTGAAAATAGATTAACATGATCAGAAAATATCCATGAAAAAGGAAACGCTATAAAAAGTTACATTTGTTTTTTGAGAGAGAGAATAGAAACAAGGCTCACGAATTTGTCTAGGTTTGGAGATTAATCACTACTGATGCCTAAAACAATGTTTGTTTCATGTCCTTAGAAATTTTTAAATGGTGCTTCTTATATAAAGGGTTCATCAGGTAAGCCATAGAAAAAGAGACAGCTGCTAATGGGCAGGTTATGGAATCAGTGCCTACATTTCAGCTGTGACAAGCTCTGGGTTCATCAACTTCATTACCGTTTTAACAGAAGGAAAGCCATAGATGCACAATACTGTAATCTGGAAGCTTATGTAAGGCAGCAAAAGCATCACCCTAGACCGGACAGACTAAGTAAGGTCCACTTTTGGCTACACTAGCAACCAGCTAGAGCCAACAGCATTTTGCCACACAAGATATAAGAGGATCCACAGCAGGGGAGGCAAGTGAGAAACCAGGGATATGGCGGTGTGTGACTACATTAGAGGAACACGCTACAAAATGAATCTCCCGGTCCCAACGGGTTCAATTCCAGTCAAGTGAGTTAAGGCTACTATATCACTGGCTGATATGAAGAGTCCATTCCAATTGAGCAGTAAGGAATTGATTCACTCTTGAAGACACAAGGAAAGGTTTAGAGGAAAAGCAAGTTCTTGGAAAGAATGAAGCACACACATGCACGTTGTCTCTCAGGTGAGGAAAAGGAAAAAAAATAAGAGAGATCAAAGCAATCCAACTGCAAGGCAAGGCAGGTGTTTGCTTCCAGTTCACAGTATTGCAGTTAGTGGTACAGTGAGGTCTACGTGAGTGGTGGAGTACAGAGGCTGCCCAGAAGAAAGGGGAAGAAATAAGTGGTCACATGACAACACAGCATTGACAGCGCTTTTTCTTTTGGGTACCTGGGGCTGGCTCTGTGGCTAGGCTCTCTTCCTTCCCTTCAGGGGATGAGGGCTCTGTAGTGTCTGAGACTGGTCTCCCGGACACAAGCTCAGCTGCATTCCCATCAATAGTGGACACATCCGTCACTGTCTTCTCCCTCAATGACTTCTCATCATCTTCGTCAATAAGGACCAATTCAGCCTTGATGGTTTCGTCATAGCCTAGCACCTTTTTAGTCTCCTCTTCATCTTCAATATTTTGGTAGCCCATAAAAATCATGGTGACCGGCTGATCCAAGTTTGCCTCTGGCCCTTCAGTGCTGGGGGCTTGGACCTGCTGCCCTGGGTTTCCAGAAGAATGATCTTTCCTAGACTTATGTACCATTTCTAACTTGGCTTCTTTGCAGAGCATGTGTTCCTTAGGATGGCTGAGGCTCCCATCTGCAATCACAGTCCTTTCTGACACGTTCCCTCCTCCTAAGCTTGATTGTCCAGCCTTCTGAATAAGCTCTTCTACATCCTTTGCACTTAACTTGTGCACTCCGTTTTCTACCACCGTGCCTCCTGAGTGCACCTCATACACTACTTTGGTACCATCATCATAGACCTTGACTCCTTTCTGATGGACCCCCTCTGGGCCAATGGTAGATGCAGAGAGAATCTTGGTCTCTCCTGTTTGTTTGTCTTTCTCCACATTAATTTCCATGGCGTACACAGCTTGAATGAAAACAAGAGAAAGGAAGTGCATGTTACAACAAAAAAAGCCAGTGAATGGTTAATTGCCAAACAGACAAAAAAAGGATTTGTGCCCTTTCTATCCTAACCGCCAAGCATCTTGAGTGTTAGAGTGAGGTGCGCACTGTGGACAGAGGTGGTAATATCTGTATTTTAACACAGCAGCTTAATGCCCTGAAAAGACAGATGCACAAAATTGCTATATCTCAATGGCACTCATACTTTTAAGAACGATCTGCTAAAATAAGGCCATAAGAGACTTTAGAGCTCAGTGTAAAGAATTTCAGGGAGACTGGCAACATGCAAATTTACCTTCCTGGGCTGATAGACTATTTAAAAACCCTTGGTTAAAATGTATCTCAGCTCCAAAATCTTAAAAATTTTTAAACTTTTTCATCAAATGTTCTCCTGTTTTTCAACATTCCCTTTTATTGTTAATAGAAAATATGTAAAGGTTTTTGGAGGTGGGACATGGCTATCCTCCACTGTATTATAAAATAGAACATTTGTAAAACCTGAAAAGGTATGAGAGCATTTCTATTATGTGCCCTGTGAGTACGTCAGTCACTGAGCTGGTTTTCTAAAACAAGAACTAGGAAAAGAACAAAAGAGAAGTAACACCATCCTAGGACACCGGAATTTGAGGCTGATGATCACAGAAGGGCTCTTTCTTCTTCCATGCACATCATGCCAAGTTCTTGTGATTCTGCCCATATTAGCTTTCCCATCTGCCATCTTTTTCTGTTCTACTGCCACTACTCAATAAGAAGCACACACTTCCTCTTCCCTGTGTTGCTGAAAGAACTTCCTACCTGGTCTTCCCACCCCAGTCTCATCCCTTAAAATTCATCCCAAATCCTGCTGCAGTCTGGGGTTCCTAAGGAACAACTCTTTCTTGTCCTATAGACCAGCGGTTCCCCCACTCCCAACCTTTTTGGCATTAGGGACCAGGTTCGTGGATGGGAGAGGAGATCATCAGGCATTAGATTTGTATAAAGAGAGTGTAACCTAGTTCCCTCACATATGCAGTTCACGATAGGGTCCGCGCTTCTATGAAAATCTAATGCCAGAGCTGATCTGACAGGAGTGATCAGATCAGCAGAAGGCAGAGCTCCCCTGGCCTACTGCTGACCTCTTGCTGTATGGCCCAATTCCTAACAGACCATGTAGTGGTACAGGTCTGTGGCCCCGGGAGGTTGGGGACCCCTGCTATAGACTCTTGTGACACTTGATACATCCAAGTCTGTAAGGCACACATTCTGGATGGGAAGGAACTGTGCACCAGCTTTATGGAGCCAGTGGGCTCTGGGCATGCTCTACCTGGATGATCCATGAGCTCATCAAACTCAGCAACTTCCAACCTGACTCCATCTTCTTTTCTCTAAACTCTTCCACAGTCTTGCTGTTAAAAACACCAGCACCAGCACCAGCACCAAGTCTCTCAAGCCAGAAGCCTCAGATTCACACATCATTTGTCCTTTTCATCCTGATTTCTCATAGCCAAACCATCATTGAGAGTAACTAATTCTACTTCAGACATATCCCATCTATCTCCTCGCCACCATCTCTATCACCACAGCCTTAGTCCAGGCCCTTTTCTGCTCTCTGCACACTATCCTTGTTTCCTATTTTACCTGACACTTCTCTCTTCTCACACTAGTCCAGGACAACGCAAACTATGGCAGAGGGCCAAAGGCAGTGTGACCCTGTTTCTGTATGGCCAGAGGAACTAGGAAATGTTTTTATATTTTTAAAGTTGAAAAAAAAAAAAAAGGAAGGAAGGAAGGGAGAGAGAAAGAGATTTTAAAAAATGAAGACTATACAATGACTGACAGAGGTCCACAAAATCTAAAATATTTATAGTCTGGCCATTTGTAGAACAAGTTTGCCATTCCCTTCCAGTGTGTGCTCTATCTTACCCTTACTTTATTCATAAACCCTCTGTTGGTTCCTTGTGTCTGTATAGGATAAACACCAAACTCCCTTGCTTAGCATATAGATCCCTTCAGAATTTGTCTGCAACCTTCTTTTCTAGCCTTGTCTCACAGTCCCCCTCATTCTCCATACACTGTGGCCATAACAAACTTCTCACTCACTATTCTCAAGACATTTCACTCATTTCACTTCCAACTGCTTGCCTGGGTGCCTGCTGTTCTCTGCCTATATGGCCTTTCATTCCCTCCACTGGCAGATTTCTAGAGACTTAGCCCACATGTCCGTTTATCATTATGTTGAGTCCTGACTTCTTCCTGAATAACTGCAAGTCCCTAACTGTGTTAAGAAAATCCAAACTATCTTTTCAAGCATGTTCTATCAATTCTTTTCCCCCAGAACAACCAAATAACACCATCCCAAACTTAAATATTTCCTGCTTTTGTTAGGATTCCTTTCTCCTGAGATATCCCTATTTTGAGTTTCTACATATCTAAATATGACTTACTAAAAATGCCTAGGTCAACTGCCACTCTTCTACAAGCATTCCTTAATCTCCCCATCTCTAAGTCATCTCTCTCTTCTTCTTTTTTTTTTTTTTTTTTTTTTTTTGAGTTGGAGTCTCACTCTGTCGCCCAGACTGGAGTGCAGTGGCCGCTCCCGGCCACCGCAGCCTCAACCTGCTGGGCTCCGGCGATCCTTCCGCCTCAGCCTTCCAAGGAGCTGGAACTACAGGCGTGCGCTACCACGCCCAGCTAATTTTTTTTGATTTATTGTAGAGATGAGGTCTCGCTGCCCAGGCGGGTCTCGAACCCGCGGGCTCAGGCCATCCACTCACCTCAGCCTCCCAAAGGCGCGGGATTACAGGCTGAGCCACCGAGCCCGGCTCATCTCTCTCTTCTTAATGTTCTTTGAACACTTTTTCTAACCTTCTCTAAAGGCACTCAGTTTTCACTCAGGAGTATAATTATCTGTGGGAAATTTTTTTTAAATCAGTTTCATAGATTTTAAGAATCCTTGAGGGTTAATTTCTTGCTTGACATCTATCTATGATTTTCCCTCCTGGCCAGCACCTACCTTAGAGCCATATGGTAGGTACCCAATATACATATATATAAAACAAATGCTACTAATTGAAGAGTTTATTTTGGTTGTCTTAATCTAGTCACAAATATGTTGTATAATGTGATACCAATGAAAATGTGCACACAGTAATTAATGTTTGGACTGGTCTGAAAAAACAGCAATGATAGTGTTGCATCTGCTTGCATATTAAGATATAATCTATTCACGATTAACACATAACTAAAAAGATTATGAGCAAAATCCAATGTTTGATTTTCACTGGATTCATTTTGGAAGTTTCTCTTGTTCAGCATAAAGGTCTTGAGTTTGCTCAAGTGACACAATGGGAAGTCAACCAATATTTTTTATGGAGGTGTATGGGCTCACACACAATAACTGTAGTATTAAAAGAAACACTTATTTCAGTTATTTCCCGATTTCCCACCAAATGTGCCATCCGAGAGACAGAATATTTAAACTTTTACATAGACTCCAAAAGCCTGTTCTGGAAATATTACACTTCTACTAAAAAGCACAGTTTTTGGTTAAAATATTACATCCTATCACTATTAACACACTCATAGGGACATATTTATAAATAAGAAAAGTAATAATGATCATTAGTCTGTAAGTACAATATCTAATTCTCCCCCAAACATCCAGTAATGTGTGAACAAAACAACACATTGACCTGTAACCAACACAAAATATGTGTGTGGGGGGAATTCCTATTTGTATATCCATATTTGATAAAATACAAATTATTAACATAGGAATGTTTAGAGATATCCCTCGCCCTCTGCCCACCAAAGAGAATGTTGTCATTGTTAGCCCAATTTTCCCTTCTTCGCCACCCTAACTCCAGCCTCATTTTGTCCTTGCCTGTTCCTGGAATCACAGATTGGACAAAAAGGAGGGATGATGACAAGAAGTTCTTTGCTAGAAGTGCTAACTAAACCCACACTATAAAAAGACAGAAAAAAATAGTGGGAGAGAGAGAGAGTAAAATTGTGTGGGATACAGATAGAGAGGGAGCATTTTGTGATAGTAAATGATACTTTGAAAAGGCTGAATATGTGGAGGAAAGAAAAGGAAATATGAGAAGTGCTATTGAGTGGAGATGTGAATTAGGTTGCTTTTAATATCCTTCAAGAGAAATAGGTAAAGAACAGAAATCCCTTTTAATGATTTTTTTTTTTTTTTGGTCTGTGATTTTTGTTTTGTTTTGTTTTTGGAGTTGGAGTCTCACTCTGTCGCCCAGACTGGAGTGCAGTGGCCGCTCCCGGCCACCGCAGCCTCGCCTGCTGGGCTCCGGCGATCCTTCCACCTCAGCCTTCCGAGTAGCTGCAACTACAGGTGCGCGCTACCACGCCCGGCTAATTTTTTTTTGATTTATTGTAGAGATGAGGTCTCGCCAAGTTGCCCAAGAGGGTCTTGAACCCGCGGGCTCAGGCAATCCACTCACCTCAGCCTCCCAAAGGCGTGGGATTACAGGCTGAGCCACCGAGCCCGGCTTGGTCTGTGATTTTAAGCTGTATTTCTTTAAATGTGTCATGGCTCTGGGACCAAACCACACGTGACATACATATTTATATTTACATGCTGTACACTATTTTTTCAATATTTCTAGAATACAAGTATAAACATTTGACATATTTTAGCACATTTTTATAATAAAATAAACTTAGATATGTTATGCCATAAAAATGCAACATTCGTATGTATTTTTTTCCCACAATAAAACACAAGGCTTCAAAGGAACCACACATTTTTAGCAGGTTCCTTACGGATGCAATTTCACACTCCTTTCTGCATTTACTCTCCTCTCCAGAAAGGAGTACATAGGTGAACACTTTGAGAAGCTCTGTCTTAACCCAAGGGTAATAGTTAGTCTTCACAGATACACATATGAGAATGTTATATAGGCATCCAGAAAACCACACAGGAGGTGTGAATGTTTATCTTAAATGTGCTCTTTAGGAGTA